ATATATATATATATATATATGACTTGAAAATATTTTAATACAAATATTTTCTCTCAACAAAAAATTTTTTTCAATTTGATACATGCCATTTTCGATACATGATAATCGATATAAATGCTAATGTTTAATTTAATTCGGTTTTTGCAGAAAGAATGGCAGATGCCGTTAAAACAACATCAAACTCTTCCGATGGTCCTCGTCTTGAGGTGTTGGACAGAGTAAAAAATATTCCGGTAGTCCATTCAGCGATCGAAAAGACGGGATCTACTTATTCTTACGTTAAAGATTCTCATCATTTGATAAATTGGGCGTTAAATCAAGCCGAAGCAGGGCTGCATTATGCGACCGCGACAGCCGCGCCACTTGCTGCACCCTTGGCTAAGAAATTCGAAGGACAGATCAATGCTGTCGACCAGAAACTATGCGAGGGATTGAACATAGTCGAACAAAAAGTTCCAATCGTAAAGAAACCACCTCAGCAGGTAATGCTAAAGGAAACCTGTTCCTTTTCAATCGGGCAATGATCTCCTTAGAACAGTAGGGTAGCTATACAAAAATCTGGGCACATATTATGAAATTTCGGAACAGATTCTGATCGGAATTGTTCAATTACTCTCTAAATTTCTATTGTATTTTCTAGGAAAACGGAATTATTCCGTTTTCCTAGAAAATAGTACAACGGAATAATTCCGGAATAATTTCCTTAGAAATATCCATTCCAATCCCATAATATATGTTCTGAGTTCTTCTAATCCTAAATTTTTTTTCTTTCTGATGTTTATTTAAAAAATTTTCTGATTAAAAAAATTTGATTTCATTGTGTAATTAACTTAACTTTTTTTTTTTAAATGTTAATAAAATAATAATAAATAAATAATAATAGTTATAATTCATATTACAATTAATAAAACAATAATTCATTATAATGCAATTGTAATGCATAAATAATTATAATACATATAATTCATATAAAATAATCTGATTTATGTACCACTTGTTGATTAATAAATAGTTTTCTGGCATTTACAGATATACGACGCCGCCAAAGCGGTTATGAGCAGCTCTTTACAGCCGACCATCGAAAAACTTAATACAGCAAAAGAATCAGCTACGCAGCAAGCATCTACATTAAAAGAGATCAGTATAACTAAAGCGAATGAACTTCTAGATACACAATATGGTAACATGGCTGTACAAGGTGTTGACAACACCAGTATACTTGTCAATCGTTTATTGGATCATTATTTCCCACCGGTGGAAGGAGAAGAGAATGCACCACGTATGTTCTCCAAAACTTCATAAATTTATCAGTATTATATTTATTAATTAACGATATTGTTTTAATGGTCATAACGATGTTATTACAGACCCCATCTCCGCGGATGAGAACAAAGTTCTTCATGCGGTACAAACGATTGGGCAACTGTCAATGAAAACTGCTAATCGCGTTTATCATTCGGTTGCTGCTCAATTGAAGACAATAAAGAAGGAGGACGTAGCGACGTACATATCCAGCGTAGTATCCATTCTTCATCTCACACAATACTTACATCCTGAACAGACAGACGATAATAAGACAAATAGTTCGACAGAAAATAAAGATGAGGAGAAAAAATAAACTGAAAGACGCTCCATTTATTCAATACGTTCATTCGCATCCAAATCGATAAATAATTTAATTAATTTGTTACACACTTCGAAGGAAAGCATTAGAAAAAAAACATAAATTACGAAAAATTGAAATATGAAAAATTTTTATTTATAAAAATTTTATAAAAGTTTAATATGGTATATATATATATTTTTTTTAAGAAGATTTCTTAATATTTTTTGTAATAAAAGCATTTTTTTAAAATACGTTAGTATCAAAAAAAGTATACAATGTTTTTAATTCGAGTAAATTCGAAATCAATGATCTTTGCTGATTATTTAGATGTATTTATATACTATATTTATAATGTGTAATTACGATTTTGTGGTTAGTAATAAGGTATAATTTTAATATTTTCTATACATGTGACAAATTTATATTAATGAAAATTGTAAAGTTTTATTAGCTTTTACAGTTATCAGAAAGAAATAAACCACCGATGCATCATTATTATTAGAATCATACTTGTTAATGCATAAAATATAAATGTGTTTCAAGTAAAACATATTATATTAAAAAACTGTGAATGAAAGATATAAGTAATATTTTATAAAGTATTATGTAAATGCATTTTAAAATATAATTTTGGAGAAAAAGTCTTTTATATTATTATTTATCCTCATTGATTCAAAATATAAAAATTAAAAAATTCGGTTTTATAAGTAGAGTTCAGAAATGAACTGTAATAACAAAAAAATTAAAGAATTACTTTTTCAACTTTGTTGAGATTTAGATCTTCTCTGTATCTATTTTTTTTTATTACATAGTACAATTTTATGAAAACCTGCAATATTTATATAAGACTATTTAAAATAGATTAAAATTAGAATAATAATCTTCATATGTATGTGTGCTTTTTCCGGAGATTATCGAATAACGTTTAACAAAATAATGAAAATAATTTTAAGTAATTTTAATGATTTAATATTTTTAAATAATTTAAAAGTTTTAATTAAAAACGATATTTTTAAAATTTTTAAATAGAATTGTAATAAATTACGATAAAATTTAATAAAATCTAAATAAATTTTAATAAAATTTATAAAAATTTAAAAAGAAAAAAATTTATATATATATATATATGTGTGTGTGTGTGTGTGTGTGTGTGTGTGTGTGTGTGTGTGTGTGTATTTAAAAGTTTATTTTTATTTATGTATAGATAGAAAGAAACTTGAGAAAGGTCATGCCGGCTTTTTTTCTGTTATACCATCGGAATCGCTCGTATCGCCAGTATATCCATTTCCAGTTTGGGAACTATGTGACTACATACATTTTCTGACACTATCAATAAAATCGTATCGAAAGTAGATGTGGTTCGTCTCTGTACTAAATTCTCAGGAAGAGTGCGGACTATCCATACGAGGGATAAATGGATCCTGGAACGATAAAATTTTAATTTTATATTTCCTACATATGTAAATAAAAATTATTTAATCTTAATAAACGAAATTGAAAATGCAAACAAGTTAATTTATTGAATTTTGTCTTATAATATTTATTTTATAAAAATATATCTTATAAAATTATAAAATTATATTTCTTTATGCAAATTTTCAGCCCGTTTTTACCAAACATAATTACTAGTCTGTATCAAAGTCTCTATAATTACTAGCAATTATAAAGACTTTTAATAAATTCAATCTTTTCTAAACATATATTGTACAATTTAGCAAAAACGAGCTATAGAGGCCCTCCATAATTGTAATATCGAATTGTATAAAGGATACATAAAAAATAATATTTAAAAAGTTATTGAAATTCATTAGCAAAATACAATAAAATAATAAGACATAAATATACAAAATAAATTAAAGATATATACTTATCTGCAAAAACGAGCTACTAAATTTATAATAGCTCGTTTTTTTTTTGTGGATGAATATATTTACAAAGAAAAGAGAATTGTCGATAAAATTGACGGGGCTGATGAAGGGCTTTTATAGCTCGTTTTTGCTAAATTACTTATATCTTAAATTGACAATATATATTTAGAAAAGATTGAATTTATTAAAAGTATCTATAATTGCTAGAAATTATAGAGCCTTAATTAATTAATACATACTAGTAATTATGTTTGGTAAAAACGACTAAAAATTGGCTAAAAATTTGCATAAAGAAACATAACTTAGTAATTTTATAAGATATTATAAGATAAAGATGTTATAAGACAAAATTTACTAAATTAACTTGTTTAAATTTTCAATTTTGTTTAGTAAAATTCAATAACTTTTATTTATATATGTAGGAGATGCGAAATTAACATTTTTTCAAGGACTTATTAAATTAAATTATCCCTCCTATGGATAGTCAGCACACTTTTATTCTGGGGATTTAGTACAGAGACGAACCACATTTACTTTCGACGATAAGAGTTTATCGTCGATAGTGTCCGAAAATGTAGGCTGCGTTCCACTTAACGCTTGCAATGCTCGCGAGCATCATTTGTCCTTATTTAATATTTGATAAATGATAAGAATGAAATGATTCCATAAGCGTTGTGAGCGTTAAGTGAAACGCAGCCATAGTCACATAGTTTCTAAACTGAAAATGGATGTACGGGCGATTTCAACGGTAACAGGAAAAAGGCCAGTATAACCTCTCTCAGGTTTCTTTCTGGTATAGATTATTTCAGTCTTTACGTTACCAACGCACGATTGCTTCGAAATGAACTATCAAGAACTTAACAGTAACAGCGTAATCTCTTGGCGAACAATCGTATTTCCGCTTAATACCGGGTGACGAGAAATAGAATAGTTCGTTAAAGTCTGTATAATAAATAATTGAACGGTCGTCGGAGTAAACAAATAATGAAATGAATCAGTAATCAAGGTTGCAGCTATGTTTATAGAGGGAGACAACGAAAAAGGAGAATAAAAGAAAGAGAAAGTATAATAGAGAGAAGGAGAAATACAAAGCCATAGGGCAGCTGAAGGGAAGTTGGCGTTCAGTTACTGTCGCAACGATCGCGTCGGGTAAGTGTCAAACTAACAATTTCCCTTTATCACATCGTATTACATCGATCGGAACACCTGTCAATTCACGACCGTGACATTGATCTTGAAACGCATATGTACGTTTTTATAACTATACTCTGACATTTTCATCGATCGAGAGCGCGAACAATGAGTCGTAGTAAGCCACGCGCATTCCTATCGCTCGCTGCTTTGTACTCCAATCACGATATTACTTCTCGCTTAGTATGTTTAAATGAACTTTTTCTTGTACTTCGCGAACGCCGTTCATGTCTTGCTTGAATTGTAATTCATATATGAAGAATGTGTTAATGAAATCTGAGTTGGTATTTATTATTGAGTTGCAGATAGAGTGCTTAATGTAATAATGACACTTATGATGCAATAATAATTGTGAAGAAATTTTATTGACAATGACTTAAATATTATAATGGAAGACAAATGTTCTACGTTAGTATATTATTCATTCTTTTTTAAATTTGCATTCTGTATAAATAATTCACACAGTTTATACTTTCATAAAGTTCATAATGCTCTTGTGTTTTTCTTAAATGTTTGTTAAAATATTTTTAATTTAATTTAGCCAGTTCCACAATGATCTTACTACATCTATTAAAATTAGTTTTAAATTACAAATTTAAGTTAATTTTAATAGATATAGTAGGAATTAATTAGGTTTTGTTAGAATTATAATATCTTTTTGTTACAGATTATATAGAATCTCAAGAATCAAGAGATTGTTCGATGAGGAAAAGATTTCGATTTAATCATAGCCATGGATATGGAACTCTCTGACCAGCTATATCGAATTCAAGCCGTTGATCGTGCTCGTAAAATACCCAGCGTGAATTACTTGTGGGATAAATCCACAGAGGTGTACGAACGTGTAAAAGGCACAAATACGTTTATAAATTGGGCTTTCGACACTGTTGAAAGTGTGTTGAATACGATGATAGAGAAGTCTTTGCCAGTCGCTCGACTGATGGAGAAACCAATTTATACGCTGGATAAAACATTGTGCCAGGGCATCGATTTTGTCGAAGGGAACTTGCCAATAATTAAAGAAGAACCCAAACAGGTATACATACACACACACACACACATACACACACATACACATATACACACACATACACACACACATACACACACACACACACACACACACACACACACACACACACACACACATATATATATCTCCACATATGAATCTTTAATTATTTGATTTCAAATTTATAAATGTATTCATTTTTTATGTTCTTTCTTTTCCAGATATTGAATCGCACCAAATCTATGGTATCTGAACATCTCCGTCCTGCGGTAAAAACTTTTACCGATTTAAAACGAGAAACTAAGCAGAGAGTAAGGGTTATGACTCTACTTACATATTATAAGGTCCACTACCTACGTATCTACAGCTGGCAACAAGCCGACAGAGTTATGTCAACTGAAACTGGTATCAATATTTTAAAGACTGTTGATAACACTACTGATTTTGCTGAAATTATGTTGAACAAATATTTACCTCCATCAGAGGAAGAGATTCATACAGATACAGGTAATGTTATGTACTAATTGTTACAAATAGAAATTTAACATAACAAATTAAAAATACTACTTAGTAACTTTTTGTTTATGTCTTTGAAATAGAATACATAAGAAAATATGGAAAATAGCTTTAAACAAATGTTATTACACATGCAAATTATACAACAGCTGAATAAGATTCTTTTTCTTAAATGCAAATCAACCGTAATCATACATAATAGACATAAAATTATAGCAATAAAATATAGCATAAAATTACCGCACTTTAATTAAGCCAGAAAATATTTTTTCTTTAATAATACTAATTAATTTATATTTCTAGAGCGATTATGTACTGAACACGTTAAGCTGCATCATACGATGGAAAGATTGAGCGAATTCAGTACTCGAGCATACAGACGTATTTATTACGCATTAATGGAGAGATTGCAGCACATGTATAAGATAGAAATACTTATTTTGGTATTACATATTCTTGTGGTCATTCAGGCGATCAAGTTTTTGGAATCGGTAGTGAGTTTAATTTTTAAATTATTTAGTGACTGCCTCTTTTCGTCTTAGAAATACATTCTAGTCTGTTGTATAATCGTGTATGCAATAGCACTTAAGAAATCAGACCATTTTTATTACTTTTACACGAAATTATTCCCGAGTATATTTTACTTGCAAACTGTGAATTTTACTTAATGAGAACGTCGTGAAACGTGTGACTATTCGCGGAATAATTTCATGTTCAAAATGAATTAAAAAGAAGCTGTGCTCTCAGCCATGATATATGGCAACTTTTTCTCATGATATTTCGCATTTGCACATTTCCGACTTTTTAAATAATCTTCTAACTGCCGTTTTTTAAGAGAAATAATCCAATTATTTTTAAGAAGAAACTAAATCTCTATATATAAATTAATTTTATAAAGATAATTCTCTTTTTAAAT